TAATATTGTCAATAAGACTTCAGCTAAAAGCTACTTGGCATAGACATTGATTATTAAACCTGATTGCTTTTTCCTTATTTAAACATGTAATTGCTTACTGTTCAAGCAGTTTTCCCTTTGATAATAGACTTAAAATTGCCAACTGTTTCCGATCTCTAACTGAACTTTCTTGTATTAGTTAGGCAATGTGGGGGAATAATGTGAACTCAGGGTAACCAGTTGCAGACACGGGATGTTAACTATTTATTTTTCTTCAGTAAGTTAATTTTGAAAAAAATCCTGTACTCTGCTGTCACATTTTTCTCCATTTTCCTTTTCTAAAATAAGAAACAAAAACTGACATGCTTTAGTGAGAAGTAATATCAATTTATTGTTTCATTTTTGTCTTTATTTGCCAGATTTTTGAAAATGGCCATATTTGATTTTCAACATTTGTAGTATTAGCAGAAGTTCTTTGTGAATTTATATTGATTTCTTATTAAAATCTCTTAGAAAGAATTTTATTTTGTTTAGAAGCTTGGTATACCTTAAGCAACTTTAAATTTTGAAAGAATGTATTTAAGTAATAAATTGAAAAATGACATAAGAATCTAAGTAGTCACCTTTGCTATATTAACAAATTAGTCAATAATCTTAGCATATTTCACTGCTAGTGATTACTGATAACATTTTGTTTCCAAATATAAAATAGTGTGGCTAGTCCGCTGTACCTAGTATGTAGATGTTTCTTTAAGTAGTAGTCAAGAGTTTATAATTAGAAAAAAGAAATGATTTTTAGAATCTTGGACATCATATATTTAGATATGTGCTTATCTAGATTAATATTCACCAATTGCTACATTAAATATTTTAAGTAATGTTTTTCCTCAGAGGAAATTGAACTGCTGATCAGTTCTGAATTTAAGCATAAAAATGGAACAACTTTCTTGCTTATAACTTAGTTTCATAGTTTTTTTAAAAAAATTTGCTTCAAACACTTTGTATCTAAAAGATTTAAACATCTTGCTTTGGGGAAAAGAGCGCGTACAAGCTTGTTTTGATGGTTTAGGTCTAGAACAGTATAGAAAACCTATGACACGCGTATCACTGGACATCCTAAAAGGTTTGGCGTCATTGCTCTGAGGTGATCCTGAGGGCCTGTGTGCTCAGGGATAGGGCTTTTGGGTCCTGGGGACACTGTGCTCACCAGTTCAGAACTAAGGTGTGGTTAGCTAGCCGGGCCTGATGAGAAGAGGCGTCACCCGGGGCCTGATGTGGGAGGGGCTTCTTTCTTCTGACTCCTCCCTGCACTATGCTTTTTGGCTGCCATGAGCTGAACATCTTTTCCCCTGCCAAGCCCCTCTGTGATCCCATTTTGCGTAAGCACATCCACCATAGACTAAACCTGTGATGCTGAGCTGTGGGTGTTGGTATTTTATCCCAGTATTGAAAAAGTAACTGAGACACTTATGTTGAAAGGGTACCATCAAAATTGCATTTTTAGCTTATGTGGTACTTATTGCATAGGAATCTAAGAAATATTATTTAAAGCTGTTGAGAAAACAGAATTATATCTGGCCTGAAGAGCCTAGATTCAAAACTACCCACAAACTGTATTTAGAAGCATAATTATTAAGTAAGTGTGTATTTAGTAAAAGAACCTATCAACTCTGAACTAAATATTACAAGATTTATAAATAATAATGCAATCTCTTTCATTGTTGTTACCTGTACTCTGTGCTGGCCATTGTGCTAAGTACTCTCTAGAATTTAATTTTATTCTCAAAATAACCTTGAAATGAAGGCAGCATTTCACCATTTTATGAATGAAGAATTTTACTTATTTTAAGTAGTATACCCAAAGTCACAGTAAATTCCCCAACCTTAGATAAGCTTATAATGTAGTGGAGATGATACCTAAAGAAGTTTCTGTTAATAATTTAAAGGCCGTTATTATAAATCAGTATAAAATTACATTTAATTCTATTAACAAGTGCCATGAGTTAAAAGAAATGGCTCTACTTCTAAAAACTTTAGTGCTTAAGTGATATTTGTTACTTGCTTAGTATAGAACACAGTGGGAGATGGATATTATTATTTCTGTAAATCATGAATAGGATTTGGATGGGTACAGGAGGAAAGAGAAAGTATGGAAGGGGAAGTATGTAATATGTAAAGCCTGAAGGACATGTGATTTGGAACAGAGAAAAGGAGTGGCCAGGGTAGAACTCCTGTGCCATTGTGAGAGATGATATGATCAGGGAAGTATATTATGACTTTGTTTTAGAAGGCTTAGAATGCCATGCTGAAATGTACTTTAGTCCACACCTCTTTATTTATTTATTTATTTATTTATTTTCAAAATTTTATTGATAAACAGCAATGAGACAGTTTCAAATCAAATCGGAAGTACAGTTTCAACAAATAATACACTGCATATATTCTTCTTAGTGATTAATTGCTGTGCAAGATGCGGACTTGAGATCCTATTTACAAACACCATTGGAACAAGTCATTCTATTCATTAAGAGAATGCAACTATATATATCTATCCTAACCACTTTGAATACACAGATACAAAATGGACATTCATCTGTATACCCCATTTTTTCTAAGTTCCGTTAGTCCACACCTCTTAATGGTTCCATCCATTCTATAGCCTGTACATGCTTCCTGTAGAGTTAATTAAGTACCCTTGAGTATGAAGGCTTTCATGAAAAGTATTACAAGAATTTTTTCTTTGGACAAGTTTTCTAATTAGGAAGCACCTCCTTTTACTGCAGCAAATCGGTAGATTCAGCTCACCGCCCTCGACACACAGAGGGTAGTCCTCTGGAGTGGGTCCATGTGCCAGATGTATAGGGGTTGATCTCATGCTTCTTTTGAATTGTTTCATACCCTGGCCTGATCCTGTCAATTCCCATAACCAGACTTCATGGGGCATGGCATTGAATTCCTGTCATCCTGCCTACTCTCTTTTAGGTAAGTTTTTCTGGCAACTCCCCTGGAATTAAGTTTTAATTCCTTTAGATTACTAAACATCAAATGATGATGATTTTTAGTCTAAATTTTATTTTTGTTGCATAATATTGCTTAGTCATAGTTTTCTTAGAACAGTTATAAGAATACTATGACTAAAGTAATATTTTTAACAAATCTTCATAAAACGTTTAATCTTAGAACAAGAATGACTTGTGCATACGTGTTTCAGAATTATTTATTTGTAATGAGCAAAAATATAGGAAACAAGTCTTTTATTATTTAGCACATTAGTTATCCTTTTCATATGTTTATATTCTGTGCCTTACGGTAGGCTAAGTACTTTATATATAGTCATCTTATTTAAGCCTCATGGAAATCATACCAGCAAACTGTTATTCTCATCTAAAACTTAGGTAACTGAGACACGGAGAGAAAATAATTTTGTTACAGAGCTCTTTAAAGTGCTCATTTAACCACTATGCGACAGCGTTTGAACTGTTTCTATTTGTCCTTTTTGTGTTGCTTTTAGTGATAGTTTTTTCAACATTCCCATTAAGTAAGCAATTTTATACTTTTTATTTATGATAAAATTTTATAGTGTTACTTCATTGTGCTTTTCGACATCAAGCAAGGTTTGTTTCTCAATAAGCTGATCAGAAATGATAACATGATGGATTTTGTTTCACTTGAACTTGAAAGGGCAAGCACAAGAAGCAGTATTTTATGAAAGTTAACCATTTGCAAGTCATTTCTCAAAATTATTTAGTGTGGTAGTGCCCCAAGACTACCCTCAGGTTTTGTGTTTCACTAGACTAACGTAAAGAATTCATCAAACAGTTGTTCTCATGACTAAGATTTACTGCAGCAAAAGAATACAGAGCAGGATCTACAGTTAAAACAGTGCCTGGGACCAAGCCTGGAAAAGTGAGGTGGACGTTTCTAAGAGTCTTTTCTCAGTCACATGGACACACTAAATTCCTCCAGCAAAGAGTTGTGGCAGAGTATGCAAAGTGCTATATACCAGAGGAGCTCATTGGAGACTGAAGACCTAAGTTGGGGGTGGGATTTTTTACATAGATCCCCTGTACCCAGTTTATACCCAAATTCTAGGTTCTCAGAAGGGACATAGTATTCAGTATAAACTACACTGTCTCTACAAACAGTTAGCCACCATAAGCTACTCTTATCACTTAGAGAAAGTTTTATATCATGGCAGGGGACAGTTTGTCAGCTAAATTCCTACGCGCTATTCAACGGTCAACTTGTAAGCTGACCTTACTAAAGATAGATACTTGCATACCCATTGTGTTAGGTGTCACCTGAGATTCAAGAGGCATTGGGGAAATTATTTTTGAAAAAAACTACTTTGAAAATAATTTTTGAAAATAGTTTGAATAAAATAAATAAGTATTTTTGAAAAAAATAATTTTCTTCTTGTGCTTTCCAAAGCATATGTTATATCATTTGTGCCACCTCAAATTATTACTTTATGTTGTATATATAAATCTAAATAAGGAGTGACTTGGTAATATAAGCCATATGATTTCTAAACCAAACTAGGACAAATAAGACCTCCTATTGAGCAAAGAACTCTGGTTGAAAGGTCATGATAATGCAATCTCAAACATTTAGTTACGCAGGGATGTTTTCTCTTTAGTACATATATCTGGCCTATAGTAGGTGCTTACATATTTACCAAGTAAGTATGCAAATGGAAAGAATATCTGATGGGGTGTCAGAGAAAATTCATAAAATAATCAGGAAAATGGCAAAAAGGGGAAACATCAATGCCATTTCAGAAATTTATCAGGGCTTTACAAATAATTTGTTTATCCACTTAGCTCTTCTGAAATGTTGATAAGATGAGGAATGCTAGTAAGTTTATTACTTAAAGGAATTGCTTCTGTAAACTTCCAGCAGCCCAGTTTCTAGTGGCACATCTTTTAAAGAGAATTCCCAAGGGTGGAACAAGTGCCACCTCTTTCCATTTTCTTTATTTTTTTCCTATTTAAATTTTATTTTCTTTATTTCCTTTACAGTAGTATTCAGGAGCCTTCTCAACAGTTGGCTTCATCTGCAGCGTTGCCTCGGAGTGGGCTAGAGAGCGTGGAGAGCACCGGTGCCAGCAGACCTGGGGGAGCCAGCCTCACGGCAGCTGCAGCCTTCAAGCCAACAGGCTCCACCAGTACAATCAAGTCTCCGAGCTGGCAGCAGCCCAGCCAAGCAGGTACTGCGGAGAAATTGCTTACTCCTTGTTTCTTTCCACTGACCAGTTACAAAAATGTTTAGAATTCACTAGTGAAACCCATTCTTAACCCTTTTTTAGTGGACTTTCTATTCTTAAAGAGAGTAAAAAATAAGGAAAAACATAAAAAATGATACAGAATTTCAAAACAAGATGATAGGAAATCAACAGTGGTTGTCATGTTGTGCATTATCTTCAAAGTAATTGTTTAGATTAACAGATGTAAGCATGTAAAATTGGTCAAAAAAATTAAGCATTAACTATTCCTTACAATAAACCAATAGATATTAGTAGTACAATTAACTTATTAGCTGTCTTGTGTGTGTGTGTGTGTGTGTGTGTGTGTGTGTATTTTCCCCCTTCTTTTCTCCTTTCCCTAGCAGTTTCTTTCCCTTTCACAAATATCTATTGTATCTTTCAAATTTTATTTACTCTTTCAGTTTCTTACACTAAGGAGACAAGATGATGTTTATACATGTGGATCTGATTTATTTCACTTATGAGTGTAGTCTCTAGTTGCCTATAAAAGCATTGAGTTTAACTTTTTATAACTGAGTAATACTCCATTGTATTAAAAATATCGCATCTTTTTTATCCATTCCTCAGTTGATGGGCATTGGGCTTGTTTCCAAGATTTAGCTATGACAAATTGTGTATTTTCAGCCTTTTAAGGTTTGAAAGGACTATTTTTAGAAGACTAGTTATTTTGCCTTTTGAAGTCATGAACATTCTCTTTTTGGTACAGTTGCTATTTGTTATCCATAATTATAGAGTGGCCACAAAAAGCATGTTTTGAATTTTAAATTTGGAGTCTTATTTCATAACAGACTATATACTTGGAAGATTATTCCTTGGAATATAACATTTTGATCTTTATGATGTGCATGAAAACATCTACTGACATCAAACAATTATCAAAGAATCTTTTATTTTCTGTTCTCTGAAGAATTACAAAGCAGAAGGAGAAGTAGTATTAGAAAGAGAATAGCATTAGAGAAAACATTTGAGTGGTGGGATGGAACACCTCTGGTGCAACTGAAGACCTGAATTCTCATTCACTTGCACAGATGAGAGCTTTAAATAAAGTCACACCACCTCTTGGACCCTCAGTTCTCTGATCCACAAAATGGACTCTTGACTCATTTTCAGTTTCACCCAACAGGAACAAAGTTTATAACTGTACAAAGTTCCTCTGTTAAGAGAGAGCTGGCCGGGGAGATGGCTGGCTCAATGGAATAAGTGCTTCCCCGGCAAGTGCAAGGTCCTGAGTTCAATCCCCGGTACCTATGACAAAACAAACAAAACAAAAAGAGAGAGCTGAAGGTGAACCTAAATGATCCTAGGCCCATGCTTGCCTTCATCTCTTTACATGTTTTAAGTGTTGTCTGGATTATTTTCATCCAGGTTCATTTTGCTACATGACCACTAATAATTTATAGTCCTCCCTCTGATGAGCTCCAAATCCTCAAATTCATTGAACTATTTGCTGTCTCCAGGAGTACCTCAAATGTAGGGTGTTTGAAAACACCATTTTATATCTCTGGATGGCACACCCAGGCAACTGCTAGAGCAAATGTAATCTTTAGGCCTCATTTTTTCTTTCTTTTTTTTCATATTTTAATAATTTTATTGAGCAAGAAGTGGCAATGAGATAGTTTCAAAACAGGTTAGTAGTACAGTTGCAATAATTAATACATTACATATTGTTGTATTTGTAGTAGTTGTTTCTAGTACAAGATGCAGACATGATATCTTGTCTAAACACTATTAGTTCAAAACCTTCTTCTCATTGAACTAAGAGAAAGTAGCTGTATATTTATGCTATTTTGTATACACATATATATTTTTTTCCACTACAAAATGGTCCATTTATATCCCCTTTTTTATTTACTTTTGTCAGAGATGTGTATTCCATTGCCATTCATATATTGTAGGTGCATAAATTCAGCAGAGTAATCCAATATAGTCCAGTAGTCTGTACTAGTAGTGAGTTATCCACAAGACTAGCATTGTCAGAAGTTGTTGACTTGAAGCTTATACAGCTCAGCATATTGATATGGCTTTACTTTTTATACATCAATTTTATACTTTTTTGCTGGATGGTTAAGACCAAGATAAAACAAGACCTATAAAATAAAAAATGTAACTTTTGTATCCAACAAGCTCAGTCAAATCCCCTCAGGATTTACCCTGAAACCCTGTACAGCAGATTGTAGATCTTTTGTCAGTGTCAGCCATGTGGATGAAGTACAGCCATTGCTTGACCAATTTGCTCTCTGTGAAAGCCTGAGAGAAAGTTTTCTCTCCATGTGACTCTCCTTAGGCACACTCTACATTGTCAGTCACTTTCCTCTATGGCTCCATAATCTCCTTGATCAGAAAATTTGGGACACAACTGAGTTACAGAGTGTTACAGTACAGGTTCTCCCATGTCCTGAGTCCTTACTAACTTTGAAAGGCTAGGGCCAAAATGTTGGCTGTCCTTGCAGCCCTTCTTCTCTAACTTTTGGTCTGCAAACTTAGGTTGTTAACCCTCCAGAAGAGAAGCTTAATATTATTACTCTACAACATAGGCAGTTGAGCTTAACCTCACTGTCTGAATATCAAACATCTTAGACATAACATGCAACAGGTATTTCCCATCAAGTATTGATATGTTAAACTTCAAACCCCTACAGACTCATTCTCCTTTCTAGCAATAACTAATACCATATTCTCAAATTTCGTCTCTCCTCAGTCATCAGAGCCGTTGCCTGAGATCAATTCTTCATCATAGTATTCTCTGTACAATTTATTTCATGGTGGTATGTTACATGTTGCTCATTTTACAAAGAAGCTAAAAGTGCTCCTTTAGTATATTATCTAAGTTATCCCTCAGTATACACAGAAGATTGCTGCTAGGACTGCCAGAAATATTAAATTCTGCAAATTTCAAATCCATAATTTAAAAATATATAGTATTTGTAATTACCCACATACAGCTACCTATATACTTTAAATCCTCTCTAGATTACTTCTAATACATGAAAAAGTGTGTATAAATGTATACATAAAGGTTATATAAGCAGTCGTTACATTGTATTATTTAGGGAATAATGGTAAGAAAAAAAGTCTACACATGTTCACTACAGACACAGTTCTTCTTTCCCAGATATTTTCTATTTGCTGTGGGTTGCGCCCCCAACGTAAAAACCGCAGCTGTGAAGACCTGACTGTATTTGTGCTGTGGGAGAAAGAGTATAGCCTGTTCGTTGCATCTGATCTAGACTGTTTTAAAGGAAAGACTCATTACTTTTAAAAGTTTAAAGTATTAAGACTAATACCATTAACTCGGAAATAATTAGGCTATTGACTTCTATCCTCTTGAGGGAAATTACTGACAATGCTCCATCGTTTTGAGTTATTTCCATCCACCAAAGCCTATGTATAGTGGCGGAGATTCACTGTAATTATCTTGTGTGACCATTTATACAGAAAATAGCTTTTAGAATGATAAACTTGAAGCCTTTATATTTAAGTAGATGCCACTTGAAGATATACTCATAAGTGAAATAAACCAGACACACATGTGTAAATATCGTATAGTCTCCCTAGTATAAGAACTCAAAAGAAGAAATACAAATAGAAAGATATAATACAAGTAAAAGGAAAGCAGGATCTCAAGGACTAACTAATCAAGAGAAGGAAAGGAGAAGAGCTAGGAAACATGACAATGTCAAGCCATACAGTTATATGTAGAAGATGGGCAAGGCAGTGATCCTGAGAGTCTTCAGATTTTCGAATCTAGCATTTAATTGAAGGATTCTCACCCTGACTAACTATATATGCTGATACCTGTGAACTAAGCAACTGCACTGAAGATGGCAATTTGTAATAGTAGGTTCATGCTTGGAATGCCGGCCAATCTGGTCTTCTGAATACGGGCTGCTTGTCATGACACGCCGGGTGCTGCCGTGCTGTCAGGTAGAGATGATTGTTTAAAAAGGAAGGGGGTGGTGAATGAAGGCAGGAGACAGGAAAAAGTGTTTCAGGACTGTCCTGCTACAATGCTGTATATGGTTAGATTTCTAAACTTATGTGTAAACATATATAATTGCTTATTCCTATTTTTGAATACATTTTAATTTTTAAAATTTTTTCGTCATATTCTGTTGGGACTTAAAGTTTAACATATCAATACTTTATGAAAAATACCTGTTCCTGTTATGCCTAAGATGTTTCATATTCAGACTGTGAGTTTAAGCTCAACAGCCTAGGTTGTACAGTAATAACAATAAGCTTCTCTTCTGGAGGGTTAAAACCTCAGTTTGCAGACCAAAAATTAGAGAAAAAGAAGGGCTGCAAGAGCAGCCAACATTTTGGCCCTAGCCTTTGAAAGTCACTTAAGATTCAGGACATGGGAGAACCTGTACTGTAACATCCTTTAACTCAGTTGTGTCCCAAATTTTCTGATCAAGGAGATTATGGGGCCACAGAGGAAAGTGATCAACAATGTAGAGTGTGCCTAAGGAGAGTCACATGGAGAGAAAACATTTTCTCAGGCTTTCACAGAGAGCAAATGGGTCGAGCAATGACTGTGACTCATCCACATGGCTGACACTGACAAAGGATCTGCAAACTGCAGTACAGGGTCTCAGGATAATGCTGAGGGGATTTCACTGAGCATATCAGATACAAAAGCTACAATTCTTTTTTTTTTTTTTTAATGAAAAAAACTACAATTCTTGTTACATAGGTCTTGCTTTATCTTGTTCTTAACCATCCAGCAGAAAAACATAAAAACGAAGTATGAGATGTAAAGCCATATTATTATGCTGAGCTGCAAAAGACTTAAGTCAACTTCTGACATTGCCAGTCATACAGAAAGCCCAGTACTATTATGGACTACTGGACCATTTTGGAATGTTTTGCTGAATTCACACACCTGTATTTAAATGACAAAACTAAAGAAAAAAAGGGAATGCAAATCAATGACCATTTTG